GTCAATGTTTAGGGTTACACCGAAGTCATGTTTGGTCTTGAAGAAACCCTGTTTTTCAAAGTCTTTCCATACCTTGGGGGAAACAAATTACGGTCGGTAGACATTTCAAACAAATGAAATTATTAACGAAAGACGAGATTTTTCTAGGTATTTACGATCATTCGGTCATACCAAATATATACACAATTGACAAATACACAAAGATGTGTAATAGTAGGTCATTTTTATTTTAGCCTTAAAAATATTTTCTTTCACTCAGTCCACGTCCATGCGTGAGAATTCTATTTAGCTTCATGGTCCTTCGGCTTGTCTTCTGCTTGGGGGGAAACAACAATAATTATACAAATCGTAAACTCAACACAATCAGGAAAAGAAACCCAGACAACCATGTTGTACTTCTGTTGAATACATTTTGTAGCAGTGAGTCACGTCGGAATATTGTCTAAAATAAAATATTCAATCCCAGCCAAATCTAGGTCAAAGGGTCAGATTGCGTGCATATAATTATAGATAGTTAAAACAAAAAGTATTTGAACTTTTGACGGTTGTTCAACATCTATGCACGGTTACTAAACTAGTAACCGTGATCTATGAAAACCAGAAAATTTTTAGTAGTCCGACTTGTTGCACGGTTGAAAATAAAACGGAAATTGACCGGTCAAAAGCGGAAGCGGTCAAGAGGTTTGGGGGAAATGAGTACAGTACTTCTTTGTTTGATGAAGCGATGCTGATGCCACATTGTCGCCATAATGAGGCCACAATGAAGCGAAGCGATAATCGCCTAACTTTTTAATGTCGCGACATTGAAGCGATGCTGAAGCCATAACAATGCCATAATGATGCGATGCTGAAGCGAAGGTGAAGCTGAAGTGAAGCCAAAGCTTCCGCGAGAACTGTACTGTATCTGGTTAAAAAAAAAATTGCTAGTGATAAACAGGCAAATATGGAATAACAACATTAACCTTCTCACCAGAAGAACGATAATATGGAAACCAGGATAACATTCTCTGGCTTATTACGTTCATCATGGGGTAGGTTGTTGATAACCAGATACAGGGCACCAACTGAATGCGGAGTATGTTTATATGGTTGAAACCAGTCAATGTTTAGGGTTACACCGAAGTCATGTTTGGTCTTGAAGAAACCCTGTTTTTCAAAGTCTTTCCATACCTTGCCATCATAAATGTCTTCCAGGATATCATGTCCACTTTGTCTTTGCTTCCACACGTTACACTTTTCAATGAATTGTGTACGTTTAACAAAACATTGCAAAGAGTCTATAATGTTCTTGTAACAATACACCTTTTTAGGGTAGACATATTCTTTTCCATCTTTTCCGCAAACTTTTTTAAGTAAAGCTGTTCCACATGGCTTTCTTTTTCGTGCATGAGGATGTCTCGGAAATATGATGTGGTTGCATTTCAATATAGTTTTGTTACCATTGTTACGCTCCTTGAAACAATCATTGAAATGATAAAGTGTGTGACAGTCTGGACATGCAACGTATTGTATGAACTGATCTCTCTGCAACCCAATGTATTTTCTCATGGAGTATAGTGTTCCTGGCAAGGATTTGGCAACATTTAGCGGAAAATTTATTTTTATATATGTACCAACTGTTCTCAAGAAAAACTTCTGGAACTGTATTAGAGCTTGTATACCTTGGTCAGAAATGCCATACAATTTTTGCCACTGAAATGCAAATAGTAGTATAGCAGCAACAACAGAACTCAAGAATGATGTTGTATCATGTGGGTCAGTATTACTGGTACCCTCAGTTGTTGCATTGTTCAGTCTGTCAGCCTCACTCAAGTCATCCTCATCCCGGCATTCAGCTTCAACTGGCTCATTCAGATTTAATTCATTCTCCTCCATAGTCTCATCTGTACCTTGATTCTCAAATATACAGGTTCCTGTCTGTGAATTGAAACAATATTTAAGCACCTCATGATAAAATAACAAGCCATGCATGGCACAGTCCCTGTAGGTTAACAATTCTTAATTATTACCATATTGTTAGCTGATACAATACAGTATTCATATATATGCACATGTATAGAAGTGGATTGCTGCCGGCATGTCCAAGATATATATACGTTTGTCAAAAACAAAATGGTTGTCAGTCGGCCATCTTGGGTCAGATTTGTAATTCAAAGTCATGTGCATAAACTGTGAACTTCCAACTAGTTTGCAGAAAATCTGACAACACATGCCCAAGATCTGGTTCCAGGCAAGTAAAAATGCCTCATTTTGGGGGACAAAAATAGCCACCATTTTGTTAAAAGTGATGTAATCACTAAAACACTTCATGTGCACATGTATATTATCATTAACTTTTGAAGCAAATCCTGTTAAAAAATAACTCCAAAAGCACAAAAACAAAAAACAAGATGGCTGCCAGTCGACCATCTTTGATCCGATTGTGAAATAAATTGTCATGGACATGTATCCTAACATGTATGATGTATGTACCAAAACTGACAAAGCATATCCAAGATACTACATTTTCAAAAAACAAGATGGCTGACAGTCGGCCATCTTTGATCCAATCATGAAATCATTGCACATGCATATGTCCCAGGTATATGTACAAATTTTGAAAAGAATGGGTCCAGGGATGTCCGAGATACAGGTCCGGACACACGGACAGAGACCAAATTATAAGTCCCTGTTTCGTCCGAACGGGGACTAATTACTATATTATAAAATAATTTGAATAAAAAATCTTAAAGCAGCAGCTAATTTTTTACTTCTAAATGACCTGGGTTATCATAACAATGAATGTAGTCATCCTACCTCATTACTCATATCTGCATTATCACCATCTAAACACACTGGCATTTCAGACAAGGAATCAGGATTTTCCTGCAAGTCAGTGTCAGAGTAATAATATTCTG